CTGTTTTGGTGGAGCATTTACTGATGCTCGCAGAAAGTCTCTGGGAGGCTTCAGGCAGATGCCTCCCCTGTGCGAAAGGTGATGCAGAAAGGTGTAACTCTCAAATTAGAAATAAATCTTTGGGATTTGTAATGTGGGGGTATGACATACGGCAGCTGTTTAATAACGTAATTAGTGATGTATTCTAACAAAATTGCCTCCTTAAGTTCCTGAGAAGGCTGAGCTTGGGCTGGTTCCTCTGTGACAGAAAGTGAGCTCACCAAAAGGGATGAAAATGGGATTTGAAATTTAAGTGGAGCCAGGGGATTTCAGTCTGTTTATGCCTTGTTCACTCTCTGTCGCAGACTTTGCAGCAGCTCAGCTTTCTCGGGATTTGCATAGGGTGGTAATTTTGTTCAAATGCAGGGCTAATTGCAAGGAGAGGAGTGGGCATGCATGAGAGGATTTGCGTGGCGAAGGAAAGCACGTCGCTAAGCTGTGAAGGTAGCAAACAGCAAAGAGGACAGCGGGAAAACAGAGACTGCCACCAGGGTGGCAGCGGTGTCCAGCCATCGGGACAAGGAGTCTGGAGACAACAAGATGAGTCTGGGTGGCGTTAGGAGGCACTGGCAAAGTAAAAAAGGGGCCTCAAAGGAGAGCTTCAAGCCTCAAAAAGGGTGTCAGCACAGCGGGTGACAAAATTTATGGTGAACGGTGCTGTACTATGCTTGCATGGGCAGTTACGTGCACTCACAGCCCCAGGTGCAATCAGTGGTTCCTCTGGTACCTCACTGAAAGAGGAAAACCATGCAAGCTTCTGGTGGCTTGAGCTTTTACAGGGAAAGCGAGTCACAGAAGCGCAGGACCCTCCGCTGAAAATTACTAGAGGTTATTCCATATATTTAGAGCAGATTTATGAGAAATGTGGGCCCAGAGATTCTCCGTGTCCAGAGAGCAATGTGTTAGCCAGCTGGGTTGCAACAGTGACCTTCTGCGTGGCTCTAGTTCAGTACCATCTTCCTGAATCCTCAGTTTACACAAAGCGATCATCTCTTGATCCATGTGAATACCAATGTTGGTTGTTCCCCTCTGGTCACTTTTCACTCAAGTGCCTGATGTTCTTATTTATTGCTCTTAGGATCTTGGTTTATAGGAGAGAAATAATGGAAAGAAGAATGGCCCAGCAGAGCCAGGAGGTGGTTGCACTTAGTGCATCGTGGAGCTCAGGGCATGCTCTTTTCAACAACAAATGATGGCACAGTGTAAGAAATCCTACCAGTTTTTCCTGAATGCCAACAGCCCAAACCATTCCTCACCTCTTAGAGTTTCATCCACCCGCTCCCAATCCCCATCTCTTTCTCCTGAGAAAATGTAAAAGTAGATACAAATATTTTCTGCATTTTAAGAAGTGAGGGCGAAGTACAGAAAGTTCAGAAACTCTTCCTTGTGGAAAGCAGAATAACGAAAAATAATATGCCATTTACTAGACTGATGTATTCTTTATCTCCTGAATTTAATGCAAATAGCTTTGCATTTACTGGAAGGCACAGCAGAAGCTTCATTGTTACAAAATTTAGTACCTGTTTGTTCTTGTATTTGGAAGATAGGGTTCTGAATTTAGATCCCGTGTGCTGCAGAGTTCGCGCAGCTTTATTTCTGCTCCAGAGTTACAGAGTTGTTCAGGCTTGGGTGCTGCAGGGAGCAAAATGACTGCTCCAGAGAAGAGAGCCTCCTTTTTGACAGTATGGGGAAACAGGGACCTCACGGCGTATTCAGAGAAACCGGGGAGATGCAACCCAGGACTCAGCAGCCGAGTGAGGGGGAAAAACGACCTGCTGCACTGGCTGCTGTTCTGAGGTCATCTGCAAATCCGATTAGGCCACGTTTTCTTCTTAAATAAGGCATTACCTGAGGCCTTATTCTTCCTTCAGGAGGCAGCCCTGCTGTAATAGCATGACTCACATACAAATCTACCAATTTATAAAAAGAAAATACGTTTTAAGCTCAGTTGTATATCTGATCAAGTGCCTCAGATGCTTTATGGTGCCGAGGGTTTCGCCAACACCTACAGGAAATCAATCAAAGCCTTTAGCAGAAGGGTGAGGGAGGGGAGATTCGTGTGTAATCTCATTCCCGCCTACTGAGAGCCATTGAGAGCAGCAGTTCCACCACCTTCAGTGTTTCTCTGGAAAATACTGAGGGCTTGGGATGTGTTAGCATGACGCCTGCTGCCCTCTCCCCCGCCGTGGGTGGAACAAGGTGACAGCGTGCCCTGTTTGAGCTTCCCCAGCCCCAGCGACAGCAGCGAGACGTCTCAGGGAAGAGACCTGCTGTTTTTCTTCCCCGCTCTTTCCTTCATAGCAAATCTCGTCCCCTTTTCTACGTGCTGCTCCGAGGTGGTGACGCAAGCACTGGGGAGGCAGCCCCAGCCGGGTGGAGGTGATGTGCTGGCAGTGCTCTGCTGCCTGACCCTGCCTGCATCCCACCCTGGCAGCCCCGTGCCTCTTCCCATGTGGCCCCAGAGCCAGGCCCATTCGGGGCGAGGGTGGGAATCCCCTGCCCACCGCGACCCGAGCAGCGGCTGGCGGGCCACCGAGCTGAGCCCCGCGCCCAAGACCCCAGCCCAACACCTCAACCCGCGCGGGCCGTGCTGCCTTCCAGGCTAATTAATGCCTCTCATCACTCAGGACTGAACCTTGGGGTTGAACCCAGACATTGTCCTTCGCTGCCGTGGAGAGCTTTGGTCTGTTAGGAAGCCATGGCTTTTCAGTGGCAAGCCTGGACGTGGTGGCCGGTTGCTGGTCCAGGCTGAAGATCAGCCTAGCGAAGTAAATTCAGATGATGTGGAGTCAAAGCACTGGTCTGCTTCTTCAGCAGGTTGTCCCTGTACCTATTCCCTGGGGGTACAAAGTGGCGATGCTGCTGGGGAGAAGAGACCCGAGGAAAGATCTTTTTTGCCTTGCGTGACAAGGGATAAAAAAGAAAGAGAGAAATAGATGTAAAATCCTCCCTTGTCAGATCAAGGTGTTTTTTTTCCCCTTTGCCCTTTAGCAAATCACGCCCATTCCCCAGCTGTCAGACGGGTGAACTTCAGTGTTCAGCAACATCAACTGATAGAGAGATCCCAAACATCTGATATCGTTGCTGCATGGACTTTTTAAGAAAGCATGAAAAACAAGCTATTTTTACCAATCTTGAAGTATTCAGCTACTGAATGCTTTGCCCTTTAACACATTCGATGTTTTTAACAAGAAAGAAATCAACAAGAAAGAGAAATGCATCTCATTTCTATTTTTCTTTAAGTCCTGGCCGCCCGTTACAGTGATGAACCCAGCTCTCCGAGCAGGGGAGCACAAGATGACAGGACTTTGGGAGCTCTGTATGCAACACCTCCATCAATAAAAAAACCTTTAACCCTTCTTCATTTCCATATCTCTTTAAAAAAAAACAAGTGCTTTAAAAACAGCCGCCCCCTGAAAAGGGCAAAGGAATAAACTGACGAAAGATATAGCTGGATTAGTTGCTGACTGCAAAATTCTTTGATTGTGTAAAGATCTGTATGACTGCAAACACTTTTTGTGATAGGGTGTGGAGATTTGGGTGTGTGGAGTTCTTGCTTGAGCCTAAGGTGAGTAGTTGGCGTACTGCATGGTGTGGGCTTGAATGGGAAGTTGCCGTGGGTAGCTGCTGGTGGGCTAGAACCATCATTTCTGAACACTGCCTGGCCTCCCTGTTGGTGCTCAATGCAAAACCCTCTAAACACCTGAGGAGACTGAGGGTCACTGCTTATGGGTACTTTAGCATGTGCTGAACTTTCAGCCATTGGTGGTGGCTGTGTCTTGGTGCAGGGTCAGTCGCAGGGTAAAAGTAATGCTTGAAACCAAGCAGCTGTAGCCTTCCTGCAAAAGCTTTCATGAAAGCATCCTGAGGGCACAGGCACCTCGGGCCAGGACAACACGCGCCACTGCGGAAGCCAGGCCCAGGCACAGGGTCCCGAGGGCTGGAGAGGCAGCCGGGGGGCGGCGCGCAGGGGATGCCCTGCCGTCTCCTCGGCAGCTCCCCACTAATCCTGGCGCTTCCCATTTGTACGGAGTCATCAGACAGCTGCTTCTGGGCAAAACAGTGTGCAGGAAGCTGAAATGTTTTGGTGCTTTCTAAATTAAGAATTTCAAATGCTCGTAGCAGAGTAATGTTTCATCTCCAGCCTTTGCTTGATTTTGTTTTTAGAGAAACCAAACTTTTCTTTTTTATTTTTTCCTTTAAAATGCTCCCAATACTAGTTAGTTAGAACAAGTATTTTTAAACCTCTGATAAATAAATAGACAAACATATAATGCAAACAGCTCTGGTTTGGTTTGCTGTGCTGCTGGGTGGGCTGTCATGAACGCGCTCCGTAGTCTGCTGCTGAATTCAGGTAATAACAGAGTCATAAAACACCACAAGTGATAGTATCACTGACCATTGAACAACACTCTTGAGTATCAAAATAAGAGACAAAAAAGAAGGGGACTTTTCTGGGAAAGAAAGCGATGTGTCATTCCAAGGCCACCATCATAAACATAATCTTGAATGCCGCGTCAGCGCTCGCGGGCTGGGATCCGATCCCTGATCACCTTCCTCCGCAGGGTGCTGCCAGGGCTTCCTTTACCTGTCATGACTAAGTCACCAGCATATTTCACTGCAATTACTAGAGATGTGATTTCTGACAGTATGTCACTGTAATATTGCTACACCTGGCACTGTTTCTCTTTTTTTTCTTCTTCCTCTGCGGGTCAAGACTTTCCATTCTTGGAAGCTTTTCTCCCTTTCTCCTGAAGGCAATAGCAAGAAGGAGCAGTTACAATCGCAGCACTTTTTTCCTGGAGCTTGGCAGGTGTGAATGTTCTCCTTATGGTCTAGTTAAACCTGTTAAAAGTTTTGTGAAGGTTTTTGATAGATCTTCATATAAGCACATTAATGATACATTGTTCCTTTATTTTTTCCTCTCTTTTTTTCTTTCCTTTTTCTCATTACAGTTATAGAGGAAAAAACATCTGACTCCTTGCAAGATTTGTGCAGAGCCTTGGAGCAGGCCAGCCTGTCTCCTTTAGGAGAACATCGGATTTCCACTAAGCTGGAGTACAAGAAATCTTTTATAAAGAGATGTAGCGATCCAGTAGTCAATGAAAAACTGCACCAGCTGCGAATTCTGAAAAGCACTTTAAAGGTGAGATGAGGGGGAAGAAAAATCCTGCCCCCGGGTTGGATGGGACTGTATCGTATTCGGGGATTTAATCGTGCGCAGCTGGAGTCCGGGCTGACCCTAGGGTGCGAAACAAGCAGGGGAGACATGGGAAACGCCGTTCACAGAGCGGAGGGAAATGCGCCTTGGGAGAGCCGTCGAAGGGAGGGGGTGAGGTTTTATTGCTGCGCAGAGAAAATCTCAGTCAGCTGCTCCTCCTCTAGCTAGTTTTAACAGAATTTGACACCGAATTATCAGAGGAGACCTTAAGCCCTTTTTTGTCCCTGAAAATTTTCATTTACCAGAACGCATTCACTCTGGAGTTGCGGAAGTCTGAAGTTAAGCAAAGCCAGCCTTTCCGAAGGGAGCGCTGCCTTTTGAAACACTTGATTATTTTCCGCTTGCTGAGCTTGTCCAGGAGGAAACCGTGTGCTTGCTTTCTGCATAAACTGACGGGGTCATTGTATTTAATCAGTAAGATGGAGTAAAGAGGTAGATAGTGGTAATGATAGATTTGAAGATTGTTATGGTTATTCTAAACACACCACAGCTCGTTTAGCCTTCCTGTCAGCTTCTTTGTTGGTTACAGCAGTTTCAATTCTGTCCTGATAGAGAATTCGGCAAACAATATGCTGGATTTCCCCAGGCACCCTGTTAACTATATTAAATTACTGTGTTTTAAGTTACTAGATAATTGTACAGTGGATTTAGTAACAGCTTTCATCAGAGGGCTTTATCAACATTAATTAATTTAGTTTTTCAGCACCTAGAGAAGCATTTAAGTAGTATTTTCACGCTTTGGGGCTCCCATCCTGAAAAAATCTTACTCACACTTAACTTTCTGCACTGTGTCATCTTACTGGAGGCAACAACTAGTTCTAGTATTATCTGGGTATGGAAGTCTTTACAGGATTGGAGGCTGGCAGTAACAGTCAAGATGCACGGGCTGTCCACATGACTTCTACAAGCATGAGAAACTGAAACGAACCCACAGTGCTGTCAGACGTGGTGGGGTGGCAGGAGCCTCACACCATTTCTGTGCTTTTGCACCCTGGCGGGATCACTCGTACCAAAACTGTAGTTCAGTATCAGCAGTTTGCTGCTGCGCTTATTTGTCTTTCTTGTTAGCATTTATTGATACCTGAACGACGTTACGCCAGCGACTTCCTACAAATGGAGTTGCTTTCCTCCAGGGAATTCCAAAACCAGCGCATCCCCTTGCCCCGGCAGATGCCCATTTTTGTGCTTCTGTGGGATTTCTTTCTTTTGGACCAAGCAAACACGATTTGTTCACTCTCTGTCCGTGAGCCATATTTTCCAAACCTGTTGCCATTCTTGTTTGGACCTTGATTAGTACATGACACAAATAATTGAAAACACAATGGCAGCAAGTACCACAGGCAGATAATTGCCATTTCGTGTGTAGAGCAACAGTGCAGAGGGACATGTGCTTGTTTTGCAATGGCATCATGGTAACTCATGACGATTTTCTAGCTCCATTATAGCTCCCAGCTCCACCTCTGCCATACTACTGGTAGTCATAGCTACCGGTAGCTAACAGCTGTTACCTAATCAGTCATTCTTTCTTTTTATCAGTGCCCTTGATTTCTCCTTCTTGAGTGAAGCCAATTGCACTGGCCTGTTGGAGTTGTTGTTCTCCTTGAACCTTTCCAGATTAATAGTAGCCTAAGACAGCCCTCCAAGTTGCTTCTAGCTCTAGTTGTCCGTAGGCTCTGTTCCATCATCTAAGTCCTTAGCGAAAGACCCCTCTGCTCTCTTTCCAGTGACATGACACAAAACCATTCTCCTGCCAGCACATAGGAGCCACCCGGCTGGTAGTGCGGAGGTGTGGGTACCAGCCACAGCCTGCGAGAAGCAGGTTATGGTAGTTCAAGCAGAGATGCAGTAATCAGGAGTTCCCATGGTTTAATCTCCATGGGTCAGTCTTGGCTCGTGTCTCCGTTTCTGAAAATGAATATGCTAGTAGATAGTGTTAATTAGCTGCTGTTTGCAAAGCATGAAAAATACCTTTCAGCTTACTGCTTATGGGTGACATCTCTGACCGTTCTGATCCTCTCCCATCAACATGGGCTGACACAGCTCAATATTTCCCATTAACATGCTCCCCAGAAACATTTAACACACTTGTAGTCTGGGCATGGAAAATGTGAGTTAGCAACGAGGAACGTGAAACCCACCTGGCCAGGAGGATAGAGGGGAGATTGCTGGTGGCCATACCATTCCTGCACAGAGGAGCGGTGCTGGAAACCTGTGTGTCAGCTGTGTTTCCAAGGCTTATGTCTGTTGCATACAGCTTCCACTACTTGCAACAACCGCGAGCGGCTACAGGTATATCTGAGGCTTACTCCGATCCATACGGGCTGCCTGTCGTTTCTCAGTAAACTGATCACTGGCCGGAGGTTATGATACAGCCACATCCCCTGCCTCGATGACGGGTAAGGAGGTACCAGCAGCTATGTCAGATTTTACCCATTTCTGTGTCCTCTTTACCGCTGCGGTGGCAGGAGGAGGTTCCAGCCAGCCAGCCCGTTGCGTACACTGGATCCTTAATGGAGATGAGTTATCGCTGAGATGGGAGTCCTTGCACAAGGCTTTGCAATGCAGCGCTCAGATGTCCCCGTGATGAGCCTCGTAAAAGAGGCCGCGCTGTGCTGGCGGGCGGGAGGCCATCTGCCTGCATCCCACGCACCCACGCGGCGTTTCTTACGCTGCTGATCGAGAAGAGCAAACAGATGGCACTTCGTTGTGTGAAACCTGTCTCGAGAAACGCAGACCGCTAGTAGTAAACAGTACAGGGCTTGCTCCTGAGCTGAACAGGAGCTGAGGAGGGGGAACAGGGACTGCTGCCGAGGGCGCTGGGCAAGCCCAGGGAAGCCCTCTCCCCGCAGGGTGATGGGCGATGCCCCATAGGAAGGGCTCCTGTTTGCAAGTGCTCGTGTAGCAGTCAGGTACTCCCCCCACTTTTAGGGGCTCTGTGGCTTGCGGTTGCTCCCCCCAGTGCACTCCTTCCGCACGCAGGATTGATTTTGCCGGCGACTCATCACCTGCACTGACTCTTGTCTTGTGCTTGTTCCTTTTCTCTCACAGGCCAGGGAAGGAGAAGTAGCCATTATAGATAAAGTTCTGGATAATCCAGCTTTGACGTCTAGAGACTTTCAAGACTGGAAACAAATGTACCTTGATCTCTTCATGGACATCTATCCAAGCAGCACCCCGAGGGACTCCGTTAATGGCTCGTCTGAGGTTGATGCACTGATAGCCTCCTTAGCCCACACTCACTCTTACATTGAAACGCATGTATAGAAGCCTCTCTTTTTGTCCGTTTGCTACACTCCAGCCCTTTACTGAAGTGCATAAAGTAGTTTTTATATCAATATGTGGGAGCTCTAGTAAATTATATTTTAATGTTACTCAGCTGTGTGAAGTAAACCTTCAATGGTCAACGATACTACGTCTTTCATGAGGATTTGTATATTTTATATGCGACCAACACTCTGCTTGTGTTTACCTGCTGTGAAATAAAGAACATGATCTTTAGCTATTAAAGAAAAGTATTTAAAAGCATTTTTGGAAGGCTGTGACCTTCATGCAGGAAGTTCTACAAGCTAAAGGTTTTGTTATCGAAGGTCACTTTTACAATGATATTTTATATTATAGAATTCCAGTATTGCATTACATTTTTGGAGTGCAGGTACTATTTTGGTGGTGGGAGAAAAACTTTTTTTATATTTAATGAGAAACTCTAGGAGTTTTCTTAAATAACAGGGAAAAAGTGTAATGCGGTGGTTGTGTTTCAGTTTTGTCAAACACACAAAAGGGTGAAGATCAGCAGACAGAAATGACTAATGTGAATTTAAGTATCAAAAGGTTAGATCTTATTTCCTTGTGCTTTTTTAAAGCCTGTTGCTAAGGTTTACCGTCAGTGCAAAGGGATGCTGGTTTGTGTTCTAAATGAGACCAAATTATGTGTTATTTGTCTCTTACTCACATTTGGTTGATTTTTTTAAAAGTTAGTCATGGCACTGTCATTTATGCTGCTTTTGTACTGAAGGTATCAGTATAATGTGCAGATTTTGCAAAAGAGAAAATGTAGACTTTGAACGTCCTTGACAGCGGCGTTTCTCTCGCCCAGAGAAGCAGCAGTGTAAAAGGTTCCCAACAAAATGCTCCAAATCTGAGAGGCTTTGAAAACTCCCACAATAGAAAAGGAATGAATAGGGTTTTTTTCAAGTAGTCTCCCATGTGTTCTCGAGCTGTGAAATCTGGCTGTATTGTATGCAGGGAAAATGTGTGGTGGGAGCAAAGCAGAGCACAGAACCTGAAAAATAACGGAGGAGTATAAAAAGCCTCTGGTTTGTTTTTGAAGGGGAGGGGATGTCTCTGGGTTCTGCTGAGTTCACAACCCCATGAAAGTGTTTTAAACTTCCATGAGATTTGAAATGTGCTGGAGACAACCCCAGGAGTATGAGTAGAAATAGTTCCTTAGAGTTAGGTGCATACCTGGAATAGGAAAGTGGGAGGGAAATCTTAAATCACATATTTACTTTCTATGGGCTTGTTTTCGAAAAGCGATCAGAGCATGACAAAATATTTCTGCTGCTTTTCAGTATTTTGCTGCGTAAGTTAAGACTCACGACACGATTTAATAATGCTCATGTGAAAGGGAAAAGCCTCTGTACTTTTTACAGCGAGTTGTACTCTCAACCAACTTTAGACTATTGCCTGTACAGCTCAGTGAATGTACTTTAAACTTTATGAGCGCTGATGTTTCCTGACAGTTATATCCATGAAGGGATGAAGGAAAGAATGGATAGATTTATTTTCTCTCTCCTTCTTTCTTTCTTTTTATTCCTCTCTCTTTCTCTCCCTCTCTCTTTTTCTCTCTTGCTCCCTTTTCTCTCTTTCTTTTTCTCCCCCTCTTTCTCTTTCTAACTTGTTATTTTATTGCATTTGGATTGCAAATGTTTTGCAGATTTTGCACAATTGTACAGAAGAGTGGCCTTTCTGTAGCCCATTTTCAGTAATCCTATATTCAAGTTGATATGGATGACAAATCATGTATTAACATTTGTATAGAACTCTGGATCCAGTGTAATATTTGTACCATTAGAAGAATATTGTTTGTATAAACTGGACATTTATTTACTGCATGGGTACTGACTTGTATACTAAATTTGTGAGGTTTTTGTAAATTTCTCTTAAAAAATGCTTGACTTGAAATGGATTGTGCTATTGTTCCAAGCATTTAGATTCTCTTGCTCTTGTTTTACTGGACCAAAAGTAAATATATTCATATAAAGAACTCTTTATATCTGATGGATGTATATGCACATTGTGTAGTTGATTCCTTGTCAAAACCAAGGCAGTTCAGAAGACTTAGTTCTGTTGCTATGCAACAGCTATTCTGCCTGCACTTTACATTAGTAAAGTCAGCTTGATTGCTTTAAAGGTGAAAATTAAACATTACGGTTTTTTAAGCTAGTCTAGTGACAAAGAACATGTGTCCTATCCATTGTGCTGCCTTCTTTAAGACTATTAAATGTTCTTCTATATATATTTTTATTGTATTAACTCTCAGCATAGAAAGGGAACACTGTAAAATGAAGTACAATAAATTTAGCTTTTAAATGAACATTTGTGACTCGAGATTCAATTTACTCCTTACCAAAGTGACTCTGCAGCACCTGACCATTTTGCCTGCATTTCACACGTGCCTTAAAGTACCCCCGTCATCTGTGCCTTCGAGCTCTGCCAAAGAGAAGTAAGACTATCGCTGTTTCAGGTGTAGGTAGACACTGAATAAAGACTTCAGAAAACCTCCAGTTACCTCCCTCCCCATCATACTTTTGGTGAAAGTAAACCGTTTTTTGACTGCAGGATTCTCTCATGTGCTAGCTCAGCATCTATGAACAATTTTACCATTACAACCTGGTACAATAAAGCAGTGTATGCTGCCAAGGTAAGTACTGAGGCATTAATTACAGCAACTCCTGTAACGTGTTTCTCAGAGTCTAGCAGCAAGTATACCCATTCAGCTCCGGCCTTCTGAACTAACACAAGGTTTGGATACAAAAGAAATGTACTGTACCGGTAGGGTGTGTCTTTAAAATAACGCAAAATAAGCATCCAAGAGGCACACTACAACAAAGGCCGCTCAGAGAGAAGCAGCTTCTATGAAACAGTCACTGTTTTAACTTATGGCCATAACTGTGTCAACATATCAAAAAATCCGTGCTTTCTGGCTGGTGATTTCATGCTGGTTATCTAAGACATTCTTGCCTAGTATGTAGCATATCAAATAATACCTTTTCCTTGGCAGCACTTCTTATTAGTTCTCGTAGGCATCAATTTTCTAGTCTTTGTACAGCTCACTTTCATTTTGCTTAGCCATAGCATAAAAAATCAATAGCACTTACCATCTGGGAAAATTACCTCTGATTAAGAAAACAGAAAAGATGGATTATATTTTTTTAACCTTTGAAAAATCTGACTTGCAACACGTATTAATTGCTATCTAGGTATTATTCTTCAAAAGTCAAGGATTACAGTTCTTGCTCATCTGCTCCAAACGTGCTACTTGCTACATCCTTCCTCAGCAAGATCGGCTTCCAGCTGTGTAAATCCCAGAAGCTTTTCCTGTGCTGGAGCCAGACTTTCTTGCCTGTTTCCACCAAGCGTTCAGCTTATCAAAGCAAACCCTCCACCTCGTCATATTCAGTGCCACTGCAGTTTTCTTCCTCCTCTCCAGACCCACCCTGGTGGGTCACCTCCTGGGTTGGTTGTTCCTCAGAGCGCGAGATCAGCAGTTCGGCGGCCGCTTTTCCTGGCGGGTGCTCTCCTGCCCGTCAGCCAGTTCAGAGAGCTGCAGCACCGCGCACTGCAGCCCGCACCAAGGCAGTGGGGCTTTGCAGATCTCTTCCCAGCCGTCGTTGTCGATGTCGTAGCCAACCACGTCTTGTGTGGGGACTTCCCGTGAGTTTTGCCATTTCTTTCCCCCGATAAGAAGAGCCGTTTCCTCTACCACTGCCAGGCCATAGCAAAATCGATCATAGATCAGCGGTCTTAACCGAGTCCATTGGTTTTGATCAGGGTCGTATCTTTCTATTTCAGAGAATGGTTCATATAATCCTAAAAAGGTGAATATGGCTTCTCTGATGGTTGCCATCTGATGCCCAAAACGAGCGATGCTCATGGGGGCTTGTTTCATCCACTGCCCTTCAAGCGAGCTCAAAGAATACACATCCTTGCTTGTGTTGGCTGGGTCTGAGTACTTGCCACCAGAGATGTATATAGTATTCTTGCAAATGGCACTGGCATGGCCGTGTATCTTGCATGGCAATTCCCTGGCCTTCGTCCATCTGTCCCTGCTGATGTTGTAGACTTCCACAGACGAATGCAGTGACCCATCCTCACCCCTTCCACCAATGGCAAAGATATCCTTGCCTAGGACGCAACAAGAAAACTGGCATCTCTTTTCCAGCATGCCCGTGATCTGGGTCCACGTGTTAAATCTGGGGTCGTAACGATGGACCTTGTTCGTAACCGATAAGATCTTTTTGGTTTTAGCATCACCTGGGGCACCGCTTTCTATTTCCCCACCCAAGACATAAAGGAAGTTCCCCACCACGCACACGCTGTGGTTCTGCACCCTGTCCCGCACCTGTGTGAGAGCTCGCCATTTGTGATTGTAAACGTCGAAGGCCACCACATCGGTGACGAGCCCCTCGCTTGCTGTCCCTCCCCCCAGCAGAATGATCCTAGTCTTCTGGTTCCTCAGCGTGGTGGACTTGTCCTGTAGGACAGGCTGTTTGAAAACAGATGTATGGTAACCTATGGCTTTAATGATCAAGCACTTGATACCTGCAGAGAGGGGCACTTCTGACTGGGTGTAGGTTTTTCTCAGCTCTTCCACCGGGACAAGGCCGTATCTTATGTGCTCTAAAAGGCTATTTGTGTGAGCCAGCCTGGATTTATCCTGCTTCAGCCACAGCAGCACAAGATTTAACAGGCAGGTTTCTTTCACCGCGGGGAGATCTGGCGATTGAACCACTGCTAGCAAAGTCCTGAAGTTCAGCTCGAGCAATCCTGACAAATCCAAATCCAGCAGCTTCCAGAGATTATTGACAATGTATTTTTCTGTTGCAGCTAAGGCGTCCGGCAGGTAGAATTTCCTGGCCACGTTGGCCGAGAAGCAGCAGCTTTCCAAGGCGAGATTGTTAACTAAGTACTGATTGCACAAGCCGATAGCATCAGTCACTTGCAAGTAGCTTGCAGCTTCCAAGGTGTCCTCCAGGCTTTCAAAG